CTCACACAGCACAGCCCCTTGTCACTGTTGCCAGCATCACCATCCTCTGAGACCACGACACATCAGTGGATCCCAAACAGCCAGGACACCTCAAGAGAGACCACGTAATCCTTTATGTTGTTTCGTGTTTCTCTAACACTGTTTTATAACATACAGGAAAAGGAGGCTTGAATAGAACTCTTCCAGGATAAACAATGAGCACATGGCCTCAAAATGTGTTTCAAATAATGCCACAGTAGTTATAGTCAAATACAAGGACAGACAAACATAACAACAAAGAGCATCAACTTCCCTCTTTCCTGGTCTGGTTAATTTTCCCTTTCCCATCTGTGAGTATGACCTAATGATACAGACTATTTGTATGAAATTTTGAGATCTGCAGAGAAGTACCATGAACAAGCTTGGTCTATATTGTTTTTGTTAGTTGTATATGTTTAGCCAGGCTTTACTTTCCTCCACACACCATTATTTACACTCCAAAGCGCTGACTCCTTGCAAAGCATTATACGTGTTATGGCTGTGTTTATAGAGTAGAAGTGCTCTCTGTAACATGTCTGTTTTTCATGTCTTAAACCAATAAAACTTTACATTGGGCTTATCAAAACCATTCAGTGTAGATCTAAGTCTGCTGTGACTGAAATCAGCAATAAAACTTCTCTTGATGCCCTGTGGATCAGAGCTAAGGCAACGCTGAGCTCTCTTAATAAATTCCGCTCCGGTAAAAGTTTTATTTAAAAAATGTGGTCAACCCAGAGCTTTTAAAGAAGATTAATGTGGACTTATAAAAAATGTCTGATTTTATTATTAGTAGTAATTCATACAGTTTGGCCTGAAGTTTTCCTTTTCAGCTTCAGTTTGAACCATATGTTCAGGAAGTTCAACTGAAAAGCGATCCTTGAGCAATATTATTTTTTTCTAATTAACAATAACCACAGAGGTATTTTAGAGAAACCTACAGGCTCCCTCAGAAGGTTGTGGAGTGAGCTGGATTAAAACAGGATTTTGTCTATTTTATGAAAAATGCACCAAAGAACAAATAGGTCAACTTCAGAGGAGTCCTTCCTTTCCTCTACCAAACAAAGGATTCCACGTGCAGCAAATCTTAATTCCCACAGGGTTCTTTTGTGAAAGGCCTTGGGAGAACTCTCGGACCCATCAGTGCCCCGTCCACCTCACTGGGATGGAGCACAGACACAGCAGTGCTGCCACTGGATCACCAGACAGGATCTGGATCCAGTGGGGCAAAGCAGTTCCTGAGTCAGGTGTGATGGCTGCCAAATGCAAAAGCTCAAGGGGAAGCTGGGGCCCAGACTGGGCTTATACAGACTGGATGGGGATTTAGGGATAAACACAGCCATGGGCCCAACCAACTGCTCTGTGAGTGCAAACAAAACACAACAGGCACAAAGGAAAACCCCGCACTTGAACAAAAACGAGTAAAAAGCAGAAGTCAGAGCAAGGTTCATAAAAGTACCTTTGGGCCAAATTTAACATCCGCAGTCCTTGTACACACGATGTAACTGATGGCATCAGGGACATTGTTATACTGGATTTCAAGCACAGTTTATCCCAAATTCCCCTTTCCAGTGACAGCAGACAAAGTAATTCTGGGTGCAGAAACCTCGCACTGAGGGCTCCTGGAGACTTCTCATTACAACATAGCTTAAAAAAAACTACTTGCTGGTTATTTTGAAGAACAAAGGTAATTGTTCAGTTCAACAGAACAATTCCATCCCAAAGGCAGCTCAGTGTTGTGCTGCTGTTTGTACTGGGGTCCTTGTCAGGTTTGATCAGTTTAATTGTTGAGGTTTTGTTTCCCCTGAGCTGTCACACTGCTCACTGCCCCGGGGAGCTGCAAGTCAAGCTGTGCTGCTTCTGATCACATACTGTTTGTGCTTTGCTGTTTTTGCTGTTGGTGCCAGCCCTGACATTGGTGAGTGTCACCCACTGCTGTCACTACACATGCAGCCTCGTCTTCCTGCCCTCACACTCTGCCCTCTTTCTTGAGACCTCTCTGTGTTGTCCTTGGAAATCAGCAGTTGTCTGGGTAAGAAGAATTGGAAAGGATGTGGCAACTGGATTTTCCAGAGGTACATCTGCTCCTTGGCAGTGGCTGCTGGTTTATCTGGGATAACTGGCCCTCACTAACCTGAAAGCCCCATTGGCTCTGGACAGCTCTTTGATGTAGCAGCAATGCTTCTGTCCACAGGGTACCTGCATTCCTGAGGGCTTCAAACACAATCCAGGGAGCTGCAAGAACAAGGTGCTATCCACAGGGAAAGAAACTGCAGAAAGGAAACCCTCCCTTGGTTGGTCTGTGCATCTCTCTACATACCAGTGTAGAAGAGCAAAGGCTCCATTTTTGCACAGCCACTTTGCAAAGTAAAACCATGTATCAAAAAGAAAGTAAAGAATTGCATTCATTTTCACAGAGGGCACAAACAAGGCCTGTTCCTGACAGGGTGTATGATATCACCAAAGCACATCCTTTCTCTCCTGTCACATCCTGGGAAGGAGCCTGAAAGACCTGTGGAGTCTGTTTTAACCTACAGACTAAACTAGGCCCTGTGGAGGGGAACATTAATTTTTAACCCAACACAACAGCATTAATGAAGAGGAACAATCACTTAGTCCTACATTTCCTATCAAAAGCAGGGTGAGACTTGAGGCCTCATTTCCAAGCACTCACAGCCTACCCTCAATGCCAAATTCTCAATCCAGGCACACACCAGTGCAGCCACTAAGACCCAGTTCCCCAAAGGATTCAATGTTGGGCAGAATACTTTCTTTTCCAAGATCTGGGGAAGTGGGGATCCCTCTTAGAAGTGTTCCTGTGGATACTGCACAACAATTGAACAACATAGGGACATTCACACAGCACAGAAAGGTTCTTCATTCAAGAGATTTGAATCTGAAAATGCTTAGAGACACATTGAACTGAAACACTGCAAGCATCAGGATGCAAAATAACCTATGTCATGGGAATACTCAGTTTGCAGATTACCTGTATGACATGCTGCTCTTCCTGCCGCTTGCCTTGCGAAGAATCTTCACCTGGGGGTGTCTCATGTGGATTTTTTTCCTCAGAGTTGCTGTTTGCTCCTTTGGAACCATCATATGCTTGTCTTCTCCATTTGATGTGAAGCCTGAGCCTCTCTGCAGGATTCTTGGAGCAGCTGATGACATGGTGGTTCCCCTTCTTTTAAGTTGCATGATAAACATCTGTCAGCAAATTGCACCTAATGGGTGAGGGTGGCAAGGCCTGGGCCTGACTGGCTCCAGCTGGGCCCTTGGGCAAACTTCACCAAGCAGTGAACGGGCTTCTCTTGGACTGGGGACACCTGTGATGGATTTGTCCCTCTGCTGGTGGCATGGGCTGCAGCAGGACCCAGCAGTGCTTGGCACTGCCAAGTGACTCAGTATGAAACCTTGGAGGTCAGTTTTACACTGTTTTACACTGTGCACTTGCTAAACTCTCTCATGTTGCGTTTTTCTGTAACTTCATCCAAAGAGCCTGAATTGAAAGTGCCTAAAGCCACAAACAGAGCTTACCATTAAATGCCCATCGACTTGCAGCTGAAGAGTGCTACAACTCCTGAGCTTTAACATTTTACATCTCAGCTCAATTTGAATTAAATTTTAATTTGAGAACTTGACAAGCTGTACAATTTGCTAAGTCTTGTATAACACAAGGATGGTCAGACAGTCTCACTGCAAAATCCTGTACCAGTGTTTGTGTTATCACAGCTGATTTCCCAGACACTGGGATATGGATTTCTTACAGCTCTGCAACAGGAACAGTCAGATTTTAAAATGTATAATGTAAAACTGGTAGTAACACTGTCCTGCAACAAAAATGCAGCTATAAAGTACAAGTATTACAAGGGGAGAAAAGCATTAAAAAGCCATGTAGGAAATGAGAACAAATCTCTGTGTAACTGTTTTGTACAAGCCCATGCAAGGTACAGAGATTCCTTAACTTTGTGCATCTACGTCTTACACCAAGGCAGTGGGACTGTTTGTTTCCTTTCTAAACTCCATACACTCCTCATGATCACTAAGCTTAGTACCAGTTCAGCCAGAGAAATCAAGGCCAGTTTGATGATACTGATATAAAAAGCAGGAAGTTTATGGAAACTTTGCTGCAGTTGTTTGTGTGTGTGTTTGTGTTGAGCTGCAAAGAGCAGAAGCACTGGTACAGTGCCAGCCAACCCTGCACATCTGTCCCTGTATAAGCTGAACATTTGCTATCCATTTGGAGTCTGTGGGCTTCATTTTTACACATTAATTGTGTATTGAAATAGATACATTAAAATTTATGAATATTTGTTGTTTACAACACACTGGTTTCCAACTGCTTTTCCCCTCTCTGTATTCCCAGCTGCCATATTTTATCATGCCCTTGAGCTCCAAGCTCTGACACACCACCATGTCTCAGTCGTTTTCTTGCTTGTTTTACTCTTTGTGTTGTGATGTTTCTTCATTTTATTCCCATCAACTTTCATTGTCTCCAATTATGTCCCTGAACTTGTAAAGCTGTTTCTCCTAACAATGGGTACTTTGGAAATGGCAACAATTGCTTTTCCATGAACTACAAGGCAGGAAGTGCATTGTTTCTTTAAAAAAATTACCAGATGTTTTTCAGGACTGACTACAAACATTAAAAAACACGCAGAAATTATTATTTTCCAAATAGTCCAAGTCCAATTTTGTTATTGTGTGACTTCTGTTTGCATTTAACTGGGAATTGCAGCCTATGCCAATGCTAAAGAAGAATTTCTCTCAAGCTAAGGGTGTAAGATGGAGTCCACCTACATGAACATTGACTCTGTGGACTCAAGTCCATCAGAGTGAGTCATGTTGTTCCTTGTGCTGTTCCTGCCAGCCCAAATACCAGCACTGGGGTACCTGCAGATTGTTATCCTGTGTTCTCTGACTGGAACAGATGAATATTCCTTGTCCCTGGGGTGCAGGGACTATTGACAGGAAATACCCAGTGCTTCACACAGCGAAATGAGTGCATTTTATTTCTCATTAAAAATTAAAATGTATCTTTTAAATGATAAAAGTATATTTTTAACATGGACAGTACAGTAAGAAGAAATTACCCGCATCACACGTGCCTGGAAATTCATTATCCCTGCTATTCCCAGACTACATCCCTCTGGATCACAAGCTGTTCATGATGGAGCGATACTCCTTCTGATGTTCCACAAGCTTCAAAAATACTTCATATTTCTTGTCATAAAATCTGTGTAAGGAAGTGAATTTCAACAAAGCCTGAGATTTGAAGATCTAAATCCCCTGTAATACACACATTTAGTGCCTTCCCTCAACATCAAAGAAACTTTGACTCTTCCCTAATTACAGCTTCTGCCGGGATCAGAGCCTCCCTGTGTGCTGCCGGAGCACGGTTTCCACCCAAGCGAGTGATTTCAGGCTGTAATTACACCTTTTCCCTACAGCCAGCTTTGCTTCTCAGACAGCTTTTCCCCAGAGTTCTCTGCCGTGGGAGTGGGGAGACACTGGGGCTCCACAGAATCATTCAGGTTGGAAAAGCCCTCCAAATCCAACTGTTCCCCCAGCACTGCCAAGGCCACCACTAACCCATGTCCCCAGGTGCCGCATCCACATGTTTTTTAAGTATCTGCAGGGATGGGGACTCCACCACTGCCCTGGGCAGCTGTGCCAGGGCTGGACAACACTTTCCATGAAGGAATTTTCCCTCATATCAATCTAAGTCTCTCCTGGTGTAACTTGAGGCCGTTTCCTCTTGTCCTGTCGCTTGTTCCTTGGGAGCAGAACCTGATCCCCGCTGGCTCCACCCTCCTGTCAGGGAGTTGCAGAGCCAGAAGGTCCCCCCATGAGCCTCCTTTTCTCCAGGCTGAGCCCCCCCAGCTCCCTCAGCCGCTCCTGGTGCTCCAGACCCTTCCTCAGCTCTGTTCCCTTCCCTGGACACGCTCTGGCCCCTCAATGTGTGTCGTGTGGTGAGGGGACCCCCGTGTCCCTCCGTGTCCCCCCCTGTCCCCCCGCCGCGTTCCGGGGCTGCGCGGACCCGCTCCCGCCGCCAGGGGGAGCCCGCGCGCCACCGCCCATGGAATATGGAATCCTTAAAAATATAAATAACCCTTAAAATATATTATAGTCCTTAAAAATTCAACATAAATAACGCTTAAAATATAACATAATCCTTAAAAATATAGCAGAAATAATCAAAACTTAAAATACAGAAATAATCCTTAAAAACAATCTTAAAAATATAGTGTACTGTGACACTTAAAAATCTGGGTGCTCAACAGTACTGTACTCGAACAGGGATATAAAGAGACACACACAGACTTCATTTCCAGACCCCAACTTCATCCTCCCTGAACTCTGCCAGGGGACCACAACAATCCCAGTGTTACCTTTTGTGCTCGTGGTTGGGCTGCACGACTCTCCCAATTTTCCCCATTTTCGCCATGGCCTCCTAGGAAAAGACAAACACAAGCTGGAAAAGCCTGTTTTGGTTTAAAATACTTTTTGACGAGAACAAGATGTTTCAAAACCAATCGGAACATTAGTGATGTATTTTGTTTCGGCTGCGCAGGCCAGATGGCAGCAAATATGTTCAATCCCATTATATAGTAGTCATGAGAACAAAGCACTGCAGACCCCTCATCACCAAAATCTGTTCCTCTTTCTCACTGGGAGTCCCAGGCGGAACAGACTTATCTTTTATTATTTACAGTAACCAAAGGAAATGTTAAACACTGTGTCCCCAGAGGGGAGTTTCTCAAATAAAGTGATACTGTACATCAGATCCCTTAATCATATTCTGAAAGTGCCGGTTCCCTGCAGCAAAGGGGGACTGGAGGGTGCTCCAGAAGCTAAAGGTAACCTGAAAAGGTCTGTTCTGGAGCCCACAATTTCCCTCACATTCCATAAGAGGCAAACTCTGATCCTGCTCTGCTTTTGGCCAAAACAAAGTCAGATTTTGCAGAACCCCCTAGAGAAGGAGTTTGGGACAGTCACGTGTGGAAGGGAGAGAAACGAGTAATTTGGTTCCTCTCCTGATCTCTGTGAGATTCTGATTTTCCGTGGATTCTCCTGAACAATCCTCCTGGAATGAGACACTAATGACTGAAATTCACAGGGGACCAAGCTCTCAGGACAGGGCGGTGGCAGCAGGCACTCAGTGATTTCACAAGGAGCATCAAAGCAATAGCTTTTAGATGGAAGAATGTTAACAGCACTAAATATCAGGATTAAAGAATCACTGTGTGACTAAATCAATGTTCATAGCTTCTAAGCACGACCCTGAAACGGCTCTAATGTAGTGCCTAAGAATCAGGATGACCCTGGAGAACAGGCAGCCTGTGCTGCTGCTGGAACCTTCCACCCAACTGCTACACCCAGCTGCATCTTTAGAAGGGTTGGATGATTTTACAGGCTGTAATATCTGCTGTAGTGAAATCTGTGCTTTCCACTAATCCAGCACTTCATAGCCAAGGATTTCCTAGAACTTTACAAGTAGATGAGCAATGTCAGCACAGTGTCCCAGCCCAGGGCAGGCAGGGAGGCTCCAAGGATAAGCTCTGCCTGACTGAACCTGCAGTATTACCTGGCATGTTCTAGGACTGTCCTTTCATCCTGCCAGTCCAAATCTTCCACTGAGAACATGGAACACCTACTTTCTACTTTTGTCAACTTCAGGGTGTCGATACTGGATGAAATCGTGGCTCTCCTGAAGTAAAAAGCACTGCTGGTGTGTGCAGTCACGATTTCACTCTGCTCGGGCTGCTGATAAACTAGCAGGGAAGATTTCTGTGCTCTCATATGCCCATTCTCTTTCCTATGTGCAGAGGTTGATTGTACTTTGATTCCCCAAGAAACACCCTTGAAATAACACTTCCAGCAAGATAGTGTGTTCCTTTCCATGGGACATGTGAGCCTGCTGGCACTGAGACTCTGCACACCTGCCAGATTAAAATACTGGCATGGAAAGGTTGATATCCTTCCCAGTAAGAGAAACAGGCATTTTATTCCCTGTCCTTTAACAGGTGATGCTGACAATGCTCAAGCGTTGTCCTTGTTTCCAACAGCCCATTACATGGCCAGCTGGATTTCGAGATACCAAAAAAAATGAATGAAGACACAGAAGAAAAACCTACAAGTAAAAGCCAATTCCCTCTGTTACAATGGATACTGCTCTTCCATTGTGTCTTGCAGAAAATGTAAGGCAAAGCCCCTTGCAGCCCTTTCTCTCACTAATGGAAGAGTCACCTTGCTTTCTGCTCCCTGCTTTACACCTCCTTTTTAATTGCCCTGGAGATGCTAAACAGAAATAAAACCAAGACATGTAAACGGTCTAAACATCTCAGACAAATCCACTTTTTATCACAGGTGCAACCAAAATGAAAGGGAGGGACGGACTTTGCCATTCCCTGCTCCCTGCACGCTCAAGCCTGCCTGAGTTAAGAGATCAGGACACAAACAGCACCATTCCCAGGATATGTCCTGCCTCCACACACTCGTGTTGTGCTTTGCTCTGGGGCCTCTTACGCCTTCCAGTGCAGCACAAGCCTTGCTGCTGTTTTGGGCAGTCAGCCAGCCTGGAGATAAACCCATGTCCACACAGGTTTTATTTTTATGCTGTAACCCATCAAACCCCAGGTCTCCTGGGCTGCTCCAGGAGAGAACAGGCTGCCCCAGGCATGGGAGCCTGAGGGCATCCTCCACACGGCAATCCCACCCGGCTCAGGGTCCCTCCACACATTCCACCTCCCCACCTGTGCCTCCAATGCCCCGCTGGGGCCCGGCTGCCAGACCAAGTGCTTTGTAGAGTCTTCAGAGGGTGAAACCAAGTCTCCACAAGGCTGCTGAGAGCTTCCCACACTCCCTGGGAGGTCTCCCCAACCCTGAAACCCCTGTGCACAGATTCCCCATCCTCTGTCAGGCAGCTGGAGAGGGTGTCACTGCTCCCATGGAGAGGTCCCTAAAGGAAAACTGGTCCCTCAAGGCCTGATCTAAATTAGGAAACAGGACCTGGTCCCCTCAGCCAACCACCTTGAGCTAAGGAGAAAGGTGCCCAAGCAGTGTTTCCAGTTTATCTGCTAAAATACTTTTGTGCTTTTAAATCTACAGAAAATATCCAGATCTTTGAGAATCCACAGCATTAAAGTCTCACAGCAACTACCATGGTTATGTGGAATTAACATGTCAAAAAATACACAGCCAGCAATTTTCAACAACTCACCCATTCTATGTTGCTCAAAATATCCTAAATGAATTCCCCCTCTTAATTCACATTTCAGTTGTGTGTTTTTCTGTGTTTTAAAGTCAGTTTGGTCATTGTTAGTTTGAACAAAAAACTTTACTCCCAGAGGAGAGTCTTTTCAACAATTTTCTGGGGACAAAGAGGAACAGAACATTGAAAATATGAATTTATAATGAAATGGGAAACAAAGGAACATTAGAATTGCATTACTGAATCGAATCAACCTTGTGCACTGCTCTGTCTCCAACAAAGCCTTAAATATAGCAAAGTGATAATACTGCTGTTCAGAAATAGTTTGTTGGAGGGTTGACATCCAAATCCATAATTCCAGTCACCAAGAATTTCACAATCTTAATTTGAATGACGCTCTATCTTCTCTGTTTGCCAGTCTAGACAGCACAATGAATATAGTGATTTAAAACACAATGAATTCTCTCTTAAAACAAAATATTTTGTAAAATTGCTTTTTAATCATTTCTTTTCTCTTTCCATAAAGGCTACGCTATAAATAACCCCTGAAAGTTCGCATTTGATCATCATTTCTAAAGGCTGGGCAAGAGGCAAGTGAAGGGTTTACACAGAAAAAAAGAGAGGCACTGTGGAGCAGGAATAAAGGGATGCATTCATGATTTCTAACCTTTTGTTGGAGTGTCAACGCTGAGACAGATACAAGGCAGTAAACACTCTGCTCTCCATGGAGAGAGTCAGTCCAGTAGGGTTACCCTGCCCGGGACAGAAGGAACAGGCCCAGGGAACCAAACTCTCCAAGGCCACCAAGACTTCAGAACAAGCAAGATTTTGCTGCTGGGAAGATCATTCAAATCCACTTGGTCCTGGTGGCTCAATTCATCTCTCCAGCACCATCTGGGGCAGGGGATAAGTTGAAGAATCCAGGGTAGAGCCTCAATAGGTAGCAGATCTCCCAGGGAATCCCTACTGGAAACCAGGGAAACCTTGTCTCCTGTGGAGAGCCTACTTTGACACAACATCTAAACGCTGGACATTTCAGCTGTTTGCCCTTCAGTGATGCGAAGGAAAAGGTTTTTAACCCTGTGTGGCCACAGTGCAGCAAGTTATTCTATCATACCAGAAGGCACCAGGATGAGCCCATCAGCCTGGCATGGGAGCCCACAGGAGGAGCACACAAGGAATAGCTTTAGACTGGGAGTCTGGTTTTCTCTAATTCCCTACACCGTGGGATCCTCCAAGAGCTGCCTCGGAGCACCCAGCACCATCCAGCCCATCCTACAAGAAGAGCCCATCTTCCTCAGGATACAGAGGGACCCATGGAAGATCAGCCCACTTGTGAACAGTCCCCAAGTCTGGTTTTCAGCAGTGACCCAAGGACTTACATGGCTGAGTATTACTGAAAATAAATGACTTAATGAGAAGTCAGATTTAGGGATGTCAGTCTTGGCTAAGGAAGTGAATTAATAAAATCCCATTGAAATGAATGAGCTGGGAACATCAGTCCCTTTAAGAAACTGGGGGGTTGCTTTATTTAGGTACTTTAAAATTGTATCCAAAGTTAGATGGATAGTTCCAGCACAAATGCAATTTCCCAGATGTGTTCTCCCCACTTAAGTCATTTCAATAATCCCAAGAAATGTTTGGCATACTTTTAACAATATTAACAATATTAACAATAAAAATCCACATCTCATTCAAAGCTTTCCTGTACAATTCCAGTGGCTGAAAGCACCTGGCTGCACATACAGCAAAGCACCAAACTGTGGGGACACGATGTTCCCACTCAGGCCAGTCTCCACTGTCCAGTGATGCTGTACCGCTTTCCTGTCACAGATCCAGCAGCAGAGGAAAAGAATGTAAAAGTTGCCCTATTCACAACAGGCTGAGATGTAGGAACATTCTTCCCACCAGATCTGTGCTGATTTGAGGATTCAGCAGGTGTAACAATCTTCAAACTAACAGACTTTCTTTACACTTCTAGTCCTCACAACAAATACAATAAATAATGTTATATATAATAATTTTAACTGTTCTTTGCCAGTGAAGAACCTCCCTCTCACTCATCTCTATTCCACACACATAAGCTCAGACTCACAGATGCTCTTTAGCATCATTTTAAGAAGTCCAGTCACAGATATATTTGGATTTGAGAGGAATAAATAGATATCTTGAAATGCTGTTGTTCAAGAAACACTTTTAAACTTTTCTAAGAGTTTTGAGTAAGGTTGCTATTTTCTTAT